AAGGGAGAGTGCAGGAATGGATGTTTAAAGGATCAGAAAAGACTGAGAGGTAACCTGATAGAGGGGGAAGCAGGTGGAACCAGGCTCACTGTCATTGAGCCTACTATGAGAACATTCTCTCTGTGGCATCTCACTCCTGGTGACATGGAACTACTTTCAAGCCTGGAGTCAGTCTTCTCTGACCCCACTGGGCTTCATCCATTAGATTATGCAATATCCTAAGCCCTTCATTGTGAATGGGCAGCAGAGCCCTATGGTGACATTATAGGATCTGGAACTAACATCAGTTCTCAGCGCTTTTAAAGATTCTGTGGTTTACAAGTTGCTGGGTATTTAAATTTGCAACCCTAAGCCTCCATCTTAGGGTTTGTTTCTCTCATACATCTAAGGAGCTGTCGCTTTACTCCCACATTCAGCTTCCCACATGTGGCTATTTTTCCTTCCATCCTTGGAGAATTTGCACTTTATTATTTGGGATGTTTGGTTTTCATTTTCATTTTGTTTTATTTTGTTTTGTTTTTGAGATAGACTCTAACTCTCTGGACCAGGCTGACCTGGAACTCACAGAGATCCCTCTGCCTCTGCCTCCCTGGGTGCTGGGATTAAAGGTGTATACTAACATGCCCAGCTATTTGGGATGTTTTAAGAATCTGGGGATGGGGGGAGGTGTTGGGGAGATAGCTCAGTGGTTAAGAATGCTTCCTGTTCTTACAGAGGACCCCAAATTTAGTTCCAAGCACCTATGACAGGTGGTTCATAACAGCCTGTAATTCCAGCTCCAAGGGATCTGATGATGTGGTTGGTATACACTCACAATATACATATACATACACATAAATAAAACAAAAATAAAAAAAATAATCTCAGACCATTTTCCACACCCATTAGGAGCTCTTCCGGTGAGACGTGTTGGTGGAAGGCTCAGTTTTGTTAGTCTGCAAATGTCTGTTTTGCTTTCATTCTAAAGAGACGTGGCTGTGTGCACAGCTGAGGTGACAGTTTTTCTTGGCCTTTAGGAACTCTCACTCTGCCACTGGTGAGAAGTTGCTGTCCTTCAGTGGGGGGCCCTGTGTAGATGAACCATTCATTTCTTTTGGCTTGTTGCCAGAGCCCAGTGCTCAGACCTTCTGCGGAGGGTGTGCACACCCTGCCTTTGTCCTGCATGGACTATGTGGTGTTCTCCTTCCTGGAGACACTGCTTTGTGTGGGTTCTGTATGTTTTGCACATTGTCTTTAAATATCTTCATTTCTTGCTCCTGGTTCTCTTCCTCATCATTTTACAACATCTTAGAATTTCCCATTTCACCTTCAGCGCCTGAGAATGTCCCTCTCCTTGATGCCGCCGCATCTGGCTTGTCCTCGGCTGTGGTTTCCAGGCTGGGAGCTCCTCCTCCGGCTGCATCCAGTCAGCGCTCCAGGCCACTGCCTGCATCTTGTCATTAACTTTTCCTTTTCAAATTGATCTTTTTCTAGTTGTCCTTGTTCCTTGATCATTCCTCCTCCACCTGCATTATCTTATGTCTGGCGGCTTCATCATCTGTGGTCTTGGCGGTTGGCGATTGTCAGCTTTTTCCACTGACCACGGCCATTGGAGTGTCTTGTTTTCTTGTTATTTAATCTTAGGGTGGCACCATGGTCTGCTCCTGACAGGGGAGCTGGAGGCCACCTTGGGGTGACACGCATCCTGGAAGAGTCCTCTACTCTTACTGCTGGCAGTGCTGCTGGCTCTGCAGTCTGCCCAGCAGGGCTCCAGGCTCTCATGGATTCTGTTGTCAGCCTTGTCTTGAGTCCTTAAGAAGTATGTGGTGCCTGATCCTGGGTGTCAATTTGACTGGATCTGGGATTAACTGAAATGAGAGAGATCTTCTTGATTGGATCATCTGAAGCCAGAAGACACACCCTAAATGTGGGTGTTACCTTCTGATGGCAGTGGGTATAAAAGGCTAAGGCAGAGGAGAATGCCAGGCTTCTTGCTGCTTGCCTTCTCTCTTCCTGGTGAGGTTGTCTTGCTGCTGTAGACTGAAGACTAGCTGATCTTTTGGAATTTGTCAGACCTTCAGTGCCAGATTGGGACTACTGAGGCATCCAGCCTTGTGGACTGAGCGACTACAGATTCTCAGCCTCTCCAGTGTGGTGCAGCCATTGTTGGACTACTCGGACTCTATCCTGTGAGCTAAGCTGATAAATCTTTATACATATATATTCATCCTACCGGTTCTGTTTCTTTGGAGAACCCTGACTAATACAGAGTACATTCCCAGGGCTGGCCCTAGCTCCTCCTCATTCCAGCCCTAATTCAGGTATTTTGCTTGCTTATTTTGGGAAGTATAGAGAAGTCTAGGGAAGTGTCTCAGAGGTTGTGTCCATCCAGATGGAAGAAGCTTGCTGTCCTGTGCAGGTAGAGGATGGCTCCTCATGGTGCCTGAAGCAGCATTTGGGTGATGCCAATACACATCCCCTTCCACGGCTCCAGTGGAGAAGGTGGGAGTGTTTAGCCCCTCTTCTCACTTCCACCTTCCTCCCTAAAGTACCACAGGATGCCCAGCCTGTCCATCACCTGCTGTTGCTGAGCACAGAGGATCATTGCCATGACTGCCTTTATCCTGATAGTTTTGTTAGTCTGCAAATCTCTGTTTTGCAGCCCCCTCATCCTTTTGTATACACTGTACTGGGCACTGCAGCTACTCGACACCCAGTGTATATATGGCCAGTGGACTGAACAGTCTGCAGCCGTCAGCATAGATGCTGGGTCACCTCATTTGACCCAGGTGGCCTCAACTACCCTGTGTTGTTCAGAGCATGACAGGGCCACAGATCCCACACAGGACCCTCAGTGTGACCTTCTTCTTTGCTCAGTCCTTCCCTTCTGTGGGTCAACTCTACGGATATCTCTGGAAGCTAGGCCAAATGCTGGTCTGTCAATAGATCAGCATGTGTCCCTTACACCACTGGTATGCTGTGGTCTTCCTGGGTATTCTGGGGGCCTCTTTCCTCCCACTCCTGATTTTTCCCCTATTGCTGCTCTCTGTGTTCAAAGCCCTCCTGTGGCCCATCCTATCCCATGTTCCATGAAGGAGGGGAGGCAGATATGGCACCTGACAGGGTCTCCGCCACTCTCAGTGATATCATGGATTTGTAGGCTTGATAGTAACTCATGATTTTGTGAGTGTAGATTACAACCTTCACTATTTGGCTGGAGCACTGAGTCCATCTGTTCAGATTTAAGTCCATCATCTTGCCACCTTCCTGGTATTCTTTTGGGTTCAAGCTTCTGGTGTTGGTTCACTCTATTGACATCCTGGGTCTGATCATCCCAACCCCAGTGTTTCCTGAGTCAGATCTTGTGGTTTGCCAATGCCATAGCTGATGGCATCTGGGCTGGCATTTTGTGTTTTGCACTGGTGACCACATTTGCCTGGGAACACATGTATAGCCTCCAGACAGGCTATGCTCCCAGTTGCCTTTGGTACTATCCTCCAAGGACCTGTAGAGAAAACTCTTTTCTTTTTGTTTTGTTTGATTTTATTTGATTTTTTTGAGACAGGTCTTCCTGTAGCCATAGATGGCCTGGAACTCACTATCTAGACCAGGCACAGATCAAGATCTCACAGAGGCCTGCCTCTGCCTCCTGACTGCTGAGATTAAAGTGTACACCACTACATTCAGCTTCTTTGTTTTTTTCTGGATTTGTGTGTGTGTGTGTGTGTGTGTGTGTGCGCGCGCGTGTGCGCATGTGTGCACGTGCATGTAACAAGATCTCATGCTGTAGTCCACTATTAGCCCAGACTGTCCTCAAACTCATGGAAGTCCTCCTGTCTCAGCCTCTAAAATGCTTAGGAAAAACTTCTAACTTAGGTTTCTCAGATCTCCATGGCAACCTCAGGACCCATGATTCTGCAGTCTTGAATTGTGTTCAGGAATTTTCAACAACAGGATACCCAGTGGTGGGAATTAGGCCTGGAGCACGACTCTGAAAGTATCAGGGGTAAAGATAGCACCCAGTCAGAAGAGTAGTCTACCAAAGTCCCCTTGAAACATAGAGGGCATGTGCTCCATGTCTGGGCAGCTGGAACAGGACTGGGAAGATCTTCCTTGAGTGTTTCCAGCTCCAAGCTGTGCCCAGCCTGGGGTCAGGTGCTAGGGGGACTCTGGAATCTACCAAGAGGATGATGCTCGCAGAGGAAGGACTGGGCATCCCTGATGCATAAAAAAGACTCCTTGCAGATTGAAGTGAGCCCTTGAGGGCTGCTTCAGTTTGGATCCAAGATGTCCACAAAACCCATGTTAAGGAAGGTTCTCTGGAGTGGCACTACTGTGGAGAGGTGGAACCTTTGAGACATGGGATCTAGCAGGAGTTCATCAGTCATCAAGAAGCATTCCTGAAGCAGACAGTGAGACCTCATCTCCTTCCTTTCTTTCACACCAGCAAAGCGGTGAGTAGCTTTGTTCTGCTGAGCACTCCCTGCTACGATGTGCTACCTCATTACAGGCCCTAGACAGAACATCCGGACCATGTAATAAAACATTCAAAACTGAACCGAAACAAACCTCTCTTTTTATTAGTTCATTGTCTCAGGTGTTTTGTCACAATGACAGAAAAATAACATAGGGGCATATCTGAGGTTGGGGTGCCCGGGCTCAGGTTCCCAAGAGGTACCTGTTCATGGCCAGTAGCGCTGGAAAGGGACAGAGAAGGGGTCCCTGCGGTCACGGCTGATCTCTGGGTGCTGTCTGAACTCCCTGTCACTTCCTGCTGGCCTTGCGGGCTGGAGTCTGGGATGAGCGAGCAGTGGTCTTCATGCTGCTCTGGCTCTGACTGCTGGCCACTGAGGCCTCAACACCAGCCCCAGTGAGTTTGCCTCTTCTTCTCTGGCCCAGCGCCCACCCCACCTTGAAGCGATGACATCACTCTAGGTACTTTGTGAATCTGTGTCCCTGCTTGTACACACCCAAGAGTCCCTCCGCTGCATGGTGTCCAGGAGAGGCGAGAGGACACCTTCTAGTATTTATCAGGAACATAGCCTTTATTCAAGCACAGAGATCAGTGACATGAAAACACCACATTTCCCAAACTGCCCCTCTTCAGTCACTTCTGTTGGAGGCCAGAGCAGTATGAAGGTTGCAGCCTCAGCCCCCGGGAGCAGATACGGTGGCAGCAGGTCTGAGGTATCTGATAACGGTGTGGATGCAGCGCTCACGGACTTGGAGCATCCTCTCATCTGGTCTTGGTGTGCCTGTTTCCTCCATCAAAGGCAGCCTCTGACCACAGTAATAAATTACAGAGGACATAATTTAGAGTAAACACGTGAGCCTCAGGGATTACATGCCAGCAGAAGCAGCCTGTGCACAGACATCCCTTGCCTGCTAGTGAGGATCTCTGATCCAGGAGCACCACGAGCCCAGCCATGGTGGGGAGTGGTGCAATATGCCAAGCTTCCCGCCCTGCCTGCCATGAGCCATCTGGGAGCCCTCTGTGACCCAGATCTGAACCCAAGGCTCAAGGGGATCCTAAGGGCTGGCTGCTGGGTTCTAGGGTTAGACACAGTTATCAGGGGAACACTCAGCCTCTTCTTCAAGCTCAGGGCATGGGGTCCCATTGTTGGCAGGCTGGACACGGACATAGCGAGTTCTGCTCTTGGCTCCCAGCTTTCCACATGGCCCTCCACATAGTCCCCAGGATGACCACAGGGAAACTTCGCAGTCCAGTGGTGTCTCTGGAGCTGAACCAAACACAGGGGAGACCTGACATGTAATACCCAACCAGGAACCAACCCTACTCCAGAGTTTGAAAGAAACATTTGCTTTTCTAGTACGAGTAATAGAGCAAGATGTATGATGGATATCACTGAGGCAGACTCAAAAAACCAAACACCTGACTGGACTGGTTCACTTCTAACATGGGCTTTAGGAAGCAAACCCTTGGGTTCTGGGGTCTAACCTGCCCAGTGGGTGCCTCTCTAAGGGGAGGTGTCTGACCAGATCCAGTTGCTCTCCTGCCACAGTGGCCTTCATGACCATTTCTCAAGTTCTACAGATACCAGATTTTGGGTTGTAAGACCTTATCCCCCCACGGGGCTCAGACATTTTTAGCTCCTTTTTCTTATGTCTCCGTTTCCATCATATAAATTTGAAAATAATCAATTTGGGGTTATAGCTAAATAACCTGGTAATTTCCATAATCCAAAGTAAAATGTAAATGCTCCTACATCTACTACATGGCAACCCAGCCAGCCAGCATTTCTCCATGGCTAGGACCCAGGGGAGGGCCATTTCCCCACAGAAGGACAGGAGCCCCCACCCCCAACCACTGCTGTCATATGAGGACTCTGTGGTACTATCAGGGCAGCCAGGCTGACAGTTCCCAGGGAAGGACTCCGTTCCTGCCCTCATCCTACCACAATCAATGGATGAGATCGCCCAGAAAAAAGTCAGGTGTCAGAATTCAGGAAGGAACAGAGTGGATCAGACGGTTGAGGGTGGGTGGTGCTGTACTCAGAATCTTCTACACGACTCTGCTAAGCCGGGTCCTAGAGCAGCCCTGTCTATGGTAGAAAGGGTGGGGCAGGGCCTACAAAGATCCTTTGGTGCTGAGCCTTTGGAAAGGTGGACAGACCCAACCTTTGCCCAAGAGCCTTGTTGAAGAGTAAGGATCCCAGGCAGTCAAACTGGGTGAAGCTCCTGAGCCCCAAAATGCCACATTGTAGCTAGAGGACTCCCCACCTCCTGACAGTGAAGTGGCAGTCGAGGCCCGGCTTGAACTGTAAGTGCTGTGAGCACTTCTATCTTCTCTTCTCCACATCACCCCCCACCTGCCCTTCCTTTGGTCGTGTTCCCTGTTCTCCCAGCATGCTACCTTCCCAGACTTCATTAGGTGGCTGACTGCTCCATGAGTAGAGCAAATGGCATTTCTCCAATGGCCTGCCCACATGTGGCTCTTCCCACCAAACTGCCCCATGTATTCTCAGATGGTGCCACTGGCCCATGTCTATAGGACTATCTACCAAGAGTGGGGGTGGGAGGGACACACCCAACCTGCTGAGAGTGCAGCTCCATCTCAGATGTAGAGCCCATCAGCATGCAAGCTCATCTTCCTGCCTGACCCTGGCCTGGCCAACGAGTCAAAGCAGAGGCCCTCCTCCGTGGCCAGGGGCACAAAGTGGCTACTGAGCCACATTCATGTCTGTCAGCTGTAGCATGCAGGTCACTGGGTGCATTTCTGATGCACTCTATCTCTGGTACTTTTTTTCATTATTCAAGGTGATGCAACTTCAGATATTGTGGAAGTTACAACTCCAACGTTTGAATTCATCAAATCCTAAACCTTTAAAAATTAGTACCACTGCCAGGCGTAGCGGCACACATCTTTAATCCCAGCACTCGGGAGGCAGAGGCAGGCGGATGTCTGTGAGTTCAAGGCCAGCCTGGTCTACATAGTGAGTTCCAGGACAGCTGGGGCTACAGGGAGACCCTGTCTTAAAAAGACCAAAAAAAAAAAATTAGTACCATTTCATTAGAAAACTATTCATAACTTTGTTATAAGATAGCTTCTAGGAAATCCCCTTTTCTATTTGCTATAATTATTTTTTCAAACTCTTGCCAAGCATTATTTCACCCCAGCCACTTTTAAAACTTTAAAGTTGAAAATAATAATTCTCTGTGAGTTCAAGGCCAGCCTGGTCTACATAGTGAGTTCCAGGGCAGCTGGGGCTACAGGGAGACCCTGTCTTAAAAAGACCAAAAAAAAAAAAATTAGTACCATTTCATTAAGAATGATGAGAAGTACCCTCTGAAATTGCCCAGACTCAGACTGCCTGTGACCCTCAGTAGGTGGTCCCTCAGGGGCCTGGGAGGTACTCTATACTTCTAGAGAGTATGTTAAAAGACAAGGGCTAACCTGGTACAGAAAGAATCACATGCTGTGCCTTATACAGGATGGCTTTGGGGCCTGGCATGTCTCCAAGTGACATATACCCACAGGACACATACAAACAACTCTCCCCAGTTCAGGCAGTGGTGTCGTGAAATGGTAACCTGTGTTTGGCAACCAAGTACCAGATATGTTCACTTGAGCGCTCCAGTGTTCTCTCTTTCCCAGCCAAAGGTTGTCTCATCCTGCCAACCTATCCACCTGCAGTTTGCAGAATAAAGGAAATGCTGACATTACCTGAGAGGCTGTCAACGATCTCATTTCCCCTGTTGAGCAGGTCCAGAGAAGGTGGGGCAAAGGCTCTGGGGCTCTGCCTCAGCCGCTCCAAGGTCACTTTGGCAATGGGAGGCAGGGACTTCAGCCGTGGGTAGTAGAATGAGTTTGCTGGGTGACTGGGAGATGAGGATGTTATCTGTGGAGGAAGAGGGGAGCTGGCATAGGGGTCCAGGAAGCCCACTTTTGTGTGTATGCTTAGATTTCTGAGGCAGTACCTAGCATCCAGCAGGGAAGTACCAGCAATCACCACAACCTGATCTTCATCTGAGTGATACCCCAACCCAGCACAGAGAGAGGTGCCTATGTGACCTCTCCCAAGAATGGGGAGGATCTGGCCCGCTCCTCTGCTTCCCAGGGAGGCTACACTGAGGCTCAGCTGAACACTGGACCACAGAACTTCTGCTCTGTGCACATGCATCAGACAGAGCTGCTCATGTCTCCTCACTGCAGCCCCACAAAGTGGGAGCTTAGAAACAGGCTGGAAGGGGGATTGTACAAGACCCTGTATCCCGTTCTTTTCCTTGCCAGGCTGTCAGCTCCCAGGCGAGCCCCTGTCCCCTGCAGGCACCAGAAGCAAGATTATTCTCTAAGCAGGAACCAAAAGCTGGAGTGCTCAGAGGGTCACCTGGGGCAGGCCAAAGCCTTTGCCCTGTCCTTTGGAGTGGGCAATATCCTCATAGCCAGGACAGTCTACCTGCTCTACCCTACCCCATTCAGAGTTCAGAGCAGCCTATTTCCCACAGAGATGGGATTACGGACCACTTACCTCAGTTACCGTGTCCTGTGGGATGGTTGCGAAGTTGGGGGAGGAGAAGGTGAAGCCACTGTCTGTCCCTGCATCATACGGGTAAAGGTCCAGGGCTACCTGCTCCTTCCAGCGGCCTCCCTCACACAGGTTCAGACTGTCGATGCCCACAAACCAGTCAGGGCTGGGAACAATGCGCACCACAAAGGACACCTGGGTGGGGCCAGGAGGATCAGCCACTGCAGCCTCAAGACACACCCTCCCCTTCTGCTGGCCATGACTTACCAGTGAGTGCCTGGGGTGCACCTCCAGCTCTGCAGAAGTCTGCCCAGTACCACTGGGGACAGCAGGAGCTGAGAACACTGCATGCACACTCTGGAGCTTCTCTCCTGCAGCCTCAACCTCCTTCATCAGAGCCCAAGCTTCACCACGCTCTGCGAAGTCCCTCAGCCCATTGCTGACATACTCATTCTTCCTCCACATGCTGTAGTCAGAGCTGTGAGCCGCCCCTGCGCAGAAGGCCTGTCTGCATGAGCAGCCAGCTGGGATGGGGGGTGGCAGTGGGGGGTGGCAGTGGGGGCTGCAGGCTTCAATCCCAGTTGGCTGCCCCCGGTGGACACCATGTCCCTCTTCCCCATACCAGGTCCCTGGCTGAATGGCGAGGAGCCACATCCACTCCTATTACATGCAGACAGTGAAATCCTGCATGCTTAGCTGTCAGGATACCTGGCTGAGTGACCGGTGTCCCACCAGCCTCTCTGTGGCTACAGCCACCCTGCCTTCTATCATCTGCAGGCACAGTGAGTACCTTGCAAGTGTCTTTTGCGCTGAAAATCTGTTGGTTGAGAATAACCCACACTGTGCGCTCTCTGGAGCTGTGCAGCCATCAGGTGCTGCTTCCTTCCCACCCTGTAGCCCCTTGGATGAAGCTGAAGGAGAAAGGCGCCCTTACCCAGAAGGGAGGACCACTGTGCTGGGGGCCGGAACAGGGGATACTGCTTGGGGAATGCAGTCTGGCTCCACTTGCCGGTGAAGGTGATGCTGTATCTGGCCAGAGGCCTGGCTGTACAGACAGACTCTCCCCCCAGTGGCTGGCTGGTGGCAGTGCCCAGCATGGTCAGAAGGAGAGCCCAGAGAGCGCTGCCCAGAGCAGCAGCAGCACCCAGGTTTTCCATCACCTACAGCGGAGGGAGAACAGTGCCAACACCTTTAGTCCCCAGAGGTCTCCTGCCCACCTAGCCCTAGGAAAGAACAGCAGGAACTCCCATATGAGCAAGATGCCCACAAGCATGCCTCTGGGTCCCCAAAGTGCTCTTGCTGAGAGTTTCCCAGATCCTACCCAGGGAAGAGAAGGGTACTAGGTTACAGGGTATGTGGCTAGTTTCACTGCCTGTCTATAAGAACCTCAGCATAACTTGCAGATTTATAGACCCCAGGATCAAGGCCCAGGGCACAAAAAATTCAACAGGCTTACAATAGGCTAGCTCTGGTGGGGTACAACATACAGGAGATGTATGTACTACAATCTGCATCGTGCCTCCACCTTCGTGACGTGTACCTGCTGTGCATGGGACTAGAACAGCAAAGCCCTCACTCCCAGGCTCCAGAGTGGTCTCTGTCCAGAGTGTTGTAGGTTTGGGGCCTGAGGAAAAGTTCCAGGAGCCCCAGGTCCTCTCTGGGGCACACATGTACTTACCTGACAGAAGCAGCAGGGGCAGGCTGTGGAGCTGTGGGGCTGTCAGCTGTGGGGCTGTCAACAATGGCTGGTCCTAGTGAGAGACTAAAACTCCTGTTTATGCCCAAGGTCAGTGCCTCTGGTCAGCAGATAGGTCTCAGTTCCTCCTGTCTGCGACACCTCAGCACCTGGCCCCAACAAGTGGCTGAAGGATGTGAAACGGGAGCCAGGGGTTTCTCTGATTGAGCACAGGAGCGGCTGTGGCTGCTGGTCACTCTCCCACAGCTCTGGGAGCTGACCTGCGGCAGGCTGAGCTCTCTCCACCGCCGTCAGGCTGGCTGCTGCCGCACCCCTTTCTTTGTCTTTCTCTCTTCCTCCCCTCTCTCCGCCCTCCTCCCTCCTCTAAGTGGCCTTCTGGGTGGTGCTACTAGGCTAGGAGCTCTGTCTTCGAGACTGGAGGAGACTGGGGCCAGGGGCCACAGGGTTGCCTGGCTGTACTTTGCTGCAGGTGTAACCTGAAGGGCCACATTCTCTACTTGGCAAGTGTGAGACGTGTGCTGAGGGGCCCCAGGGCTACCAACCCAGCCTCCCCAGGCTTTGGGGCGCTGGGGTTTCAGCCAAGCAGTCACCTCTTTCCAGTCGGGGCCTGAGCTACACAACAGCAGAGCCCCACACTGCCAGCCAGGGGGAATCAAAACCAGGCCAAGAGGTCAGGCATGTTGATCCCCCAGTTCCCCTAAACCCACCTGCTCCTTGCCCCCCATCAGTACTGGTGGTACCTGTCCTCTGACTGGCCCTGTGAAGCCAGAGGTGGGTACAGGGGAGAGGCCAGGCCACTTCTCTTTTGAGCAGGGTAACAGATTTGGGCAGCTCAATGTCAGGAAAACTTTCAAAAGCATCTTGGAGTCTAGGAAGGAAGGAGGAGGGGAGACCGGAGAAGCCTTGCTCAGCCTCTGCCTGTGTCCTCTCCCTTCCCAAATATCCAGGGAGCTGTTATGCTTAAACAAAACACATTTCTGAGTTTTGGAACACTGTTAATGTTTTACTGTCAGACAGACAGTGAGAGAGAATAAATAGAATCAACAAGGCTAGGATGCAAACAAAGCAAATTACCTCACCCACATTTCAAATAACACAGCCACAGAGGGGTAACTATGAACACAGCATTTAGGTTTCCAGGCCCAGAGGCTAAAGACAAACTGCCCAGCTGTCTCAAGCTGTTGGTGTTAGCACTGACTTTCAGGCTTGAAAGTCATCAAGGACCCTAAGTCTATGTGGGTTTTATCTATCCATGTGTATCACATCCTGTCACAGCAAGAGCAAAGCAAACTTAAGTCACTTAAAATAATGAAATAAGGAGGTTGGAGAGACGGCTCGGTGGTTAAGAACACTGTTCTTCCAGAAAACCTGGATTTGAATCCCAGCACCCACACGGCAGCTAACAACCCTCTGTAACTCCAGTTCCAGGGGATTGGACAGTCTCTTCTGACCTCTGCGAGCATTGCACGACATGGATGTACTTATTTACATGCAGGCAATACACACATACACATAAAATAAAAAGAATAAGTAAAATATTTTTTTTAAAAATGAAATAAGGCCATTAGACATTAGTATACATTGCACAATGTCTTATATGGTGCGGTTATTTTACAAATTGAAAACCAACCCAGCCTCCCCAGGCTTTGGGGCGCTGGGGTTTCAGCCAAGCAGTCACCTCTTTCCAGTCGGGGCCTGACCTACACAACAGCAGAGCCCCACACTGCCAACCAGGGGGAATCAAAACCAGGCCAAGAGGTCAGGCATGTTGATCCCCAAGTTCCCCCAAACCCACCTGCCCCCCGCCCCTCATCGACACTGGTGATCCCTGTCCTTTGTGACTTGGACTGGAGGAGGGCAGAGAGAGGGGAGGGAGAGATGTGGCATGGTTCTCCTCATTGTCTGGATGAGTAGAAGACAGCTGGACTAGCATGTCCTCTACAGCTTATCTGATGAGTGTGCAGAGCCAAGCCACAAAGAAAGTCCAGTCTGAGTGGATACCCAAAGACTTTCTCTCCTTGTCAGATACAGGTGTCCCAAGACAGTGCTAAATTCCCCACTGTCACTTACCAGAGAACAGGCATAGAAAGATGCCTTCATGAGATGGACTTGACCTTCCGGACCCTGAAGGATCTTTACTTCTCCACACATTGACCTCTGATTCAGAGGCCTCTTTCCCTTTGACCTGCCTTTTGTTCTAGAACTAAGACATGGACCACGCTGGTGACAGGACCAGGCTTCTCACTGCTGACAGGAGTTCCAGAGAGAAATGAGCCAGGTTGCTGTGTTGCTGGAGAGGGGCTGGAGGAGCCAGCACAGCCTGTGTTTTTCAAGCAGGAAAATAGGGTATACAGGTAAGAATGCATGCCATCTCATTCCCCTGAGCGTGTGGGGTCCCTAGAGCAGCCACGGGGCTGCAGGGAGAGCACATCAGGCCAGTCTCCACCTATAGGAGCTTAGGCTCTTGGAAAGGACGCAGGAAATGAGAGAGGGGTTCACCTAGTGCCTGGCCAAGAGGCACTATGGGCAACTACAGTCCAGCTATTGCCCCGTAGCCCCAGGGCTCACTTTATTCTGCAGGACAGAAGACAGTAGAAACAGCCCAAGTGCAGTAGCAGTGGCAGGCTCTTCTCCCAGCCCCCACCTAGGAAGTCTATGTCGTGGGTATCAGCTGGTCTTTGTGAGGCTAGTGGGCATAGACCACATGTGGCAGGGCTGCAGGAGGTCAGGCAGGAGGGTGGCCAGGGAAGAACTCCCTTTGGTGGTGTCAGTGTTGTTAGGGTTCAGATAGCCCCACCCCCTCACCAAGAGAGCCTCAGGGTTCCTCAAGCCCCTGAGAAAAGCACCTTGGTCTTTGAAGTCAAAAGCAAACTTTTCTCCACTGTTTGGCCAACACAGCAGGCTTCCCCTTTGATCTCTAAAGAGGACAGGTTTTAACAGTCCCGCTGTCCCCCCCAACCTTTAAAAAAATATATCTTTCTGCCTTCTGCACCCCCCAGAAACCTCCTCCTATAAAAGACCCCAGCTCATGACCCAGGGCAGACATTTTCCTTTCCCAGAAGGGAATCTGTTCCATGTGTTCCTTTGCTAATAAACTCTATTCCAATGGAGTTTTATCTGTGTCCTGGTGCTTTCTCCCGATCAACCCGATTCATCTATCGGCTACTTCATCTATCAAGTGTCCCTTGAAAAAATGCCTGAGAAGGTTTGTGGACATGATAGGACATGGAAGGACTCGGCCATGGCCTAACAACGGCTCTTTCAGGGCCTGCCCACACACTCCTCCCTAGGTGTGGCACAGGCCCCAGGCCCACACTCCTCCCTACGTGTGGCACAGGCCCCAGGCCCACACTCCTCCCTAGGTGTGGCACAGGCCCCAGGCCTGACCTGAGCATAGGCACGCTCCCAAGCCACGTCTGCTGACTCAAGTTGGGGATCCCCACCCCTAGGATAGCTGTCTCTTGCAGTGCACACAGGCTCGAGGCATTTATGGCTGCCGGGGACCCTGCTGTGCATTTAAAAGCTCACCCTCAGATACCCACAGGCCAGGACACACAGGCCCACACTCATCTGCCCACTAATTCACTGGCTCCTGCCAGGCTCAGTGGTCTGTGGTCTGTACACACACACTTTCCAAAGGCTGCCTCCACCCTTGAGGTAGTATCCCCAGAATGGGGCCACCAGACTGGCTGTCTCACCAGTTCCCCCTTACCCTTTACTTTGTGCCTGGCACTGACCTCCCAGAACTGGGTCTTTGCTTGCAGCCACTCTACTTAAAGAGCTCTTCTCATGCTGGCTTCCTGTCCCTCTGGTCTCAGGGACAGCCCTGTAGTCTGCCCAACCCAGAGGAACACCTGCTCCCCCAGGCTCACCCTTCAGTCCCCACTTCATGGCTCTACTTTCAATCCCCTACAAAGGAGGAAATCCATTCCAGCCATGTAAGCAGCAGGGGATTTGCTACAGGGTGTTAAGTGCCCTCAGAGGCATTAGCAGGCTGAAGACAGACTCTGGAGTAGGTTTCTGGGCACAATGTTCAGAGTTGTGCAGCCAGCAGGGCTGCCAAGTTGGCTGGTGGCTCCAGTGCTCAGGAACTTGCCCCAAAGCCCAGCATTGCCGCACCCCCCTCCCTGTCTGCTTCCCTCTCTACTTTCCTGCCTCCAAGCCACTATTCTAGGTCAGATTTCAAATAGCACCTTTGACTCAGGGTCTGAAATACATCCTGGAACCAAGTCCTGGGTTCAGCCTTGTGGTCTCTGCCGTACGGAAAAACGCCTTGGAGGAAGGTGGGAGTGAGGGGATCCACAACACCCACAGCATCCAATCCCATCTACTGTGTGATTATGAGCTAAGGCAAGTGGGGCCAAATCCAGCTACTTCCCCTTAGTGTGACTACTGCAGCCCCTGGAAAGACTGAACACATGCCTTCCCAAGTCAGCACAGCGACTCCTGCCCCATGGGGGGACCAGGCCGTTCTTGGAAAGGACCAAAGGCTGCTGTGTGACTAAACAGAGACTTTTTCCATTGTGCCTCCTTCAAACATGGGCCTGGGCAGTCAGACAGCTCCACAAACCTGATTACCTAAGTTCTGTTCCTAGAACCACATAAAGGTGGAAGGAAAATTTTGCTCTGCATAATTGTCCTCTGACCTCCACAGGTGTTCCCCACCCCATAATAAATAAAATAACTGTGGGCCTGAGCATCTCCAGTAGTGTCTCTTCACATCTGACATAAGATGCCAGGACCTCAGCAAAGATGGGAACTCTCCCCATCAAAGCAACAAGAAAACTGACAGAATGCCTGGATAGGTTTTTTTTGTGCTCTGAAAATTAACCAAAGGCTTGCAACAGTATGCGAGAAGCTATTTTATCAAGAAAATAGGGGGGTTTTGGTAAAAATAGAAAGTTTATTGTGCTTCAACTGTCCCAGACACATCCTCTTGCTGCAACTCAGTAGTAGCCTTGGAAACTAACAACCTCCATTCATAGTGAAACCATAGCCTGGCAGCGTCTGGTTGGATAAAATGGGGCTAGAGCTCTCTTAAAGCTGCATTTGCAGAAAGCTGTCATTATCTGGCCTATCCACTAGCTTCCAGCAAGCCTCCACTTGGGAAGCTGTCTTTGTTTGACTGGATTCTGTGCTCTCCCTGTTTGAAAGCCTTTTCCCAGGGGCTATTGTTGAAAACAACTACAGGTAATTACTGAGGTAGTTGCTCCAAGGAGGTAGCTAACAGTTGGGACAAATAATAGACCAACCAAAAACCTAAAAGGAAGACTTAGAAGTGGGATGTACACAAGGAACTGTGAAAAATTCCAACATACTCTCGGGGATATAGAAGATCACAGATTGCAAGGGCTGTGGGCGTGCTCAGGAAAGGCCTGACAGGGTCTGGGAACTCCAGCCTCTAACAGATCTTGAGGTTCTTTGCAAGCAGGAAGTGAGGGCTAGGACTAGGACAGTGCTATTAACTGCCTGGCTGATTCGAGCATGTCCCAGCCTACACTGAGAGCTCCACAACAAAGTGGAGATTAACTGATTCCAGGCATCTAAAAAAACTTCTGGCCAGTGATCAGCTGACCACCAAGTTAACCAAGGAAAGATTTTGTGGCCACACATAACAAGGAACAGAGAGATATTTCAACTTTAGTCAGAAAAGTCACTAAAGAAGCCACAAAAAAAGCAGCAACTCCTGAAGAGGGGAAGAATTTAATTTCCAGATATTAATGCAAAAAAGCACAACTCTCACCTCAAAGGGGATAAGAGATAGTTTATTCTGGAGCCAAATATGAGTGACCATGGCCCAGGAACACAGATTCAGGTTACCCCAAATTCCATGTTCCAATATGGAAGCAGTTTCATGAAGTTTTTATAGTAACAGAAAAAAAAAAAGTCATAAATCAAGACACTTTTCAGATACATTGGTGGAAACATTAAGCTTCCACCAGTTACAGCAAAAGAGAGCTCTCAGCCATAGGCCTCCGATACTATTTGATGACAACCAGCCTTTTGGTTGGTGGGAGCTATGGTTTTAAGTTAATACCTTCCGAAAGGTCTTTATCTGTCAATCACAGGATGCTAAGTCAGAAACAGAGGTAGGCAAGAAGTGGCTAGTTAGGGGGCTAAAGATGGCCCAAGGTGAATTGTAATTAAGCTTTGGACCCGAAACATTCCAAACTCTCCACAATCAATGAAGCTCTAATCAGTTGATCAGGCTTTGTAGAAGGTTCTGTTTCAAGATGCAGTTTTTCTGGGAACTTTCATTCACAGCTCCCCCTGTTGGCCAAGCATCACATTTTGTGCATGCAGGGACACATGTTTATTCCCAAGTTTCCAGGAAACACTTCCCATGATCTGATGTGGATGAGGCTGGGTAGCAGGCAGGAAGAGCAGTCTTTAGGAGCAAGGAATAACTTAAAGCCAGTAAGGAAGAAACTCCTGGATTGTATCAAATCTATCAGCCATCATGAGCCTGATCTGACTGTTTCTTTTCTTTTGTGCTCTGTATCTGACATAACATTTACATGTGACATATAATTGGATCATTATATTTAAAGTAATCAAGAACATCGCTTGACCTAGCAGAGTAAATGTAACAGATGAAGGAAACACATATTTAAATACACATTGACTATATAGTTCCCCTTGTCCTTACAGTATTTGTACTTTATGAACTATCTTTTTATAAAATTTTTATTAATTTTATGTGTATGTGTGTATTGCCTGCATGTAGGTAAGTGCACCTATGTCGTACAATGCCCGCACTGGTGAAAAGAGGCTGTCGGATCCCCTGGGACGGACAGGTGTTAGCTGCCATGTGGGTGCTGGGATTCAAATCTGGGTCTTCTGTAAGAACAACCAGTGTTCTTAACGCTGAGCCATCTCTCCAGCCCCAAACTATCTTATTTATATTTGTCATATGTAAGCAAATCTATCATTTTCTAATTTTTGTTGTTTTTTTTTTTCTTTCTTTTAGTCAGTTAGACCTTTTAACTGACCTCACGTGCAGTGGCTGGCTCCAACTCTAGAAGCTCTTATTTGTGATTAACGGCCTGATCTGTTTTATTACATTGATATCATACCAGATTTAGTTTGGAAAAGTAAATTAAAAAAATAACAATATAGTATTCTTTAAACAAGAATGTCCTCATTTACATACTAAATATTAATAACATTGATAGAAACAAGAGATCAAACCTGTTAGAAATCTGAATTCTATAGCCTTGTAGACATAGCCAAATATTTCTTTTTATTTTAATGATTAGAAATGGGAATAGGACTCTAGAAGGAGTCACTGTAGTATTGTCCATTCCTTTTTATTTGTAA